TAATGGAAAGAACCATTCATCAAAACCACTAGAACTTCTACCACACCACTCCGTACCTCCGATGTCACTCTGGTCAAGTTCTCCCACACTCTGCCGTAAATCTAGTTCATCATCCTTACCCATCCTGTTCATCTGACCCGATTTTTCAGTCTATGTACAACTTGTTCAATACATATCTCGTTCATACACCTGTCTCGCCTCTTCTTCTTCGTGTTTACAAACTGCTTGGAGCGGCCGTTCGGATGCGTGCTACGAGTTTTTGTTGAAAAGTATTAATAGTGTCAAAAGGATACTTAAGAGATTGTAGATTCCACTAAGGTAATATGTGTGCGATTATTATAACATCTGAGTCTGTTTTGACGGATACAGTATGTTAAGTTATGAGTGTGACAAGAAATTTCTACTTTATTTGAGAATGGCGAACAATCGAACGTGGCGCTGATAATAGAAAATGGTACGTTTCAAAGGATAACTCTTGTAAACCATACGGTTCGTTGAACTTATATGGAGGGAACACCACTAGGCATATCTGCTCTTCAGATAAAAACATCTGTAGTCATACAACTTACACAGCTGTAAGATTCCGAAGTACTGTTACGAAGGTTGCCCATAATTGCATTTTACCAGGGTACACCAACAAATCTCATATTTGAACAAAAAATCACGATTCATGATGTTTGTTATTACCATTAACATTTGTCTTTAGCATTTTTACCCAATGTAATAATTTTCGTCATAAAAGCCTGATGTTGCATTTATTTATTTATATTACGGGCCACATCTGAATGATATATATTTTTTTCTCTTATAAACAGCTGTTTAACGTATCTATAACAAACACTATAAATCCAACTGTGCATCAGTGTTTCTTAATTGGTATCTATCCCTCTTATAACAACGATGAAGTGTGATGGGGGCATAGTTGGCTACGGGCCATCCGCCATCATTTTAGAACTATAATCATTTTATAATAAAACTATTCTGATTGTACACTCTGGGTCAGGTGTGTCAAACTTAATACCCTTCGCGGGCCGACTTTTGCTTCAGCTACCATCTTGAGGGCCAACAAAGGTTCATACCTGTCTTTCCGGGATTACGTTACTGAAACTAGTAGTGTGTACTTGTACGTAATGTTACATTTCAGATTTTAGATGGTGGTACTAATGGTAACAAATTATATATGGCGTCATTTTCCTTCATGGCGATCACAATTTCACAGGCTAATAATTCTATTTCAGTCATTGCAATAACACAATCATCATCATCATCATCATCATCATCATCATCATCATCATCATCATCATCATCATCATCATCACGTGTTGAACATCGCTGCTCTAGGTTATTACAACTAATCGTAAATGCAGTTTAACGAAAATTGTCCCTATTCCCTGGCTGCCGAGCGTGTTTTTATTTAGTCTGCGCTTTATCGGACAAAACTTGAGGTACATGATTTTAAATGGAGCTTATTATTTTCGCTCCGATAGTTTTGTCAACTTAAAAAGATTGCATTGACGTTGGTGTTTCGCTTTATTAGAGTGATCTTAATGAAATCGTAAAATCCCGGAGTGAGACGATACAATTGGTATCAATGTGGGAGAAAAAAAAAATTCTCTCTCTCTCTCTCTCTCTCTCTCTCTCTCTCTCTCTCTCTCTCTCTCTCTCTCTCTCTCTCTCTCTCTCTCTCTCTCTCTCTCTCTCTCTCTCTCTCTCTCTCTCTCTCCTCTCTCTCTCTCTCTCTCTCTCTCTCTCTCTCTCTCTCTACTCTCTCTCTAGGGTCCTTCCCAGTCGCTTATGATATGATGTTTGTTTTGACAGATTCGTTTAGGTTAAATCTTTCTATGATATCCTTTGAAAATGACAGAAGGCGGTTGTTTATACAAGAAAAGTGACTGACACCGATATCTGTGAAAAGTGACGCTTTAGTGATGACCAGATCTGCGAGTGTTTTTATAGCAACCTACATAGATCTACTCGAGTGTTTTTGCTGCCAAGAAAAATTGAACTCACAAGTTGGTAGCTCTATGTCTGAGTTACTTGCATCCTCGTATGGAATCCGAACCAGTCTGGGCTCCCGGTTGAATCATGATCGTTGTTTACATAGCGAAAAAGTCTTCAAGGTAACCGTACTGATCCTATGGATTTTTTGTTTTGTTTTATTTTCTAGTAACTTGTTTACACTAAGTGAAAAGACACAAGTAGCGGAAAATAAATATTGCTGATTTTATGATAAATATTTCATGTACTCGTTAGTAGTCAGCTAAATATATAAAACTGTGTTATGTACTCGTTAGTAGGATTAGTTCTCTATTTCCCTCGATGATTTTCCTTCTCCAAAACACTTAGCTTCCAGTTTACATCTGGCTTATCACCTTCCCATATAGAATTTCCTTCGTTCTTGTATTATGCAATGTAAATACAAAGTTAAGATATGAAGTAGTTCTCGCGACAAAGTGTGGAATTCATACACAACCAACATTTTAATAAAACCAAGAGTAATTGATAGGGTAACTGCTCTTATCAGTGACGATATTTTAACAGTCATCTTGGTCAGAACATCTACAATTACTTAACCGCAGTGGTCGTTATGCATCGGTAGTAAAAATAAATTGCAAGTAAAAGGAAAGTGGAAAAGAAAACATCGATACTGATGTTTGTTTATACTAACTTCTCAATGTTCTGTAATGCCAAACTTTTATATGATACTTCAGTATTTTCTTATATAATCCAGCAGGCAAACGATGAAAAAAATATAATGCTGTTCTTGAAAAATTAAAGTAACGATGTACTAGTCCACTGAAAGAAAAAAGGTCTGTTTTTTATTATATCTTGCTTTAAGAGGGTCTTTCAAAAATAATACCCGTGTGTTGAAATGCTATTTATTTATTTATTTATTTATTTATTTATTTTTGCTCTTTATGAAGATGATTGAATTACAGGAACGTTCAAACATCCCTTTTTGTGCAAAATTCTCTTTTCATCGTAGTCTAAAAATCACTGAACTCTTAAAGCCTCACTTTTTGTCTTCTGAGGCAGGACAAGCACACCGTTTAACAATGGTATTTCCCCATAGTATAACTGAAGACATATGAAACCTCATAACGCTTAATATTATACTTTTTACAGAGCATAGATGTTGATACATCATTCTTAAAAGCCTTGATTTATTTTTCAAACTAGACAAGCACTAGGCCATGTTCCTGTTAAAGACAAAGCAAAAAAAAAAAAAAAAAAAAAAAAAGGGAGACACATGAACATTTTGAAACATTCAGTGTCCGTGAAAATAGCACCGAAATAGATCACTGCAAGGTATTGAGCTACGTAGCCATTCATCACAGACCCGAGATGAGTTTATAGCCTTGCAGAATAATACTTAGTGAAAATGTTCAATTAAGGAAAACAAGGTTGTGGGAGTTCATGGCTGCCTTTTATGACTCCATCTCAGTTTGGAAGGAGAAAAAAGAAAAGAAAAGAAAAAAAGAGACGAAGCCTGAGGAATTTTACCTAATATCAACAAAGGCAAAGATCAGGAACGGAGATGGATAAGAAAAAGGAAAACAAGAAAAGAAAGGAAGAAAGAAAGAAAGAAAAAACACATCGGAGCCGACGGAGAGTCTAAACATAAATGGAAAAAGGCTGACAAGTGCCGATAGTGTTGGAAATTCTGGCAACTTTCATGTCCAGAGTTTCCATTTTCGTTTATGATTTCTTTATGACTATGTGACAGCATACAGAACATAATGGAACTATCAAACTGCAAACGTTAAAAGGAAAAATCTATTAACTTTTTTAAAATGCTATACCATGTTAGAAGACAATTTCTAAATACACTGTCTTGTATGAATGTGGAAAGTGTATGTCTAAGAACTGTGTATGGATTGGTACTCAAGACCTAGAGCCAAAAATACCAGCCGAGAAGTGAAAACCCATTGGGTGTACCAGACAAGTTATGGAAAAATATAGAAAATACACACGCACCTACAGTATATATTTGGATGGTATCATTTCAGTACATGAGGAAATATTCCCAAAGTATGTGAGGACAGTTTTTCATAGCAGGGGAAAATGTGCAGGATGGCCTATTAATACAGTCCTTTATAGCTCCCAGTAATACGTGCTATACTCAAATAGCAACATTTTCATTTTAAATATCAAATTCCATGATATTGTTTCGCTATACTCCCCTGTCAATGTGAAAAGGGTAGGATAACGATAACATGAGCAGTGTATTTCTTATCGTCTCTGTAACCCTTTCTAGTGAACTCATAAAGCCACCTTTGTACTCCATTCAGGTATTTATAAGGTTTTGGGGGCTTTCGCTCGTCACAAGATGATGGAATAGCCTCTGTGCTGTAATACCAAATGTTAGATTGATGTAAATGCCTTAGAAACGTATATTTACGAGCTATCAATAACGTTCGGGTTACAGGTTGCCGAAATTCGTAGAAAGTAAAATCTCGGTGATTTTTCATCTGTGAACTCAGAACACGGTGGAACAGTATTCATAGGCTTTACATTTTTATTGCACAAAAAAAGGTGTATAAAAGAACCTTTGTACATTTATGAAGGTCAAAAGCCGTAACCCAATTATGAAGATATATAGATAGTGTAATAGATATTCATTTATAGATATAGAAATAAGTATAAATATATAGATATAGAAATAGATATAGATACATAGATATAGATATATAGAAATAGATATAGACATATAGAAATAAATGTAAACATACAGACAGATATACAACATTTTGTTATTTCTATACATTTCAATACATGTATACATTTCTAATTCTCTTTATGGCGTTGTTGGGAGAGACCATGACACATTCCACTCGATTGTCCTGTTCTATATGTTTTTCTTTTTTGATGTGAAAAATGTTGTCCATGTTCTAAAATGAGAATCCAATTAAGTGAGATGACAATTGTTTATGCATGAAATGATTTGACTGATCCTAAATATAGATCTTGTTGTCATTAGCCCGTTTAATGAACATTATTTAGTCCGTGCTAGTTTACACAAATACATTTCACTTTGTGTCACTCTTTCATGGAACTATATACCCATATAACGATCTTGGTACACGTTGTCCTTCCACAACCAATAATGCATAGTGTTTCCATAGAAATCTGTCATCTACTCGCCAATCGATTTTTTTTTTCCCAGATCAAAAATCTAATCACTCGTAGCAAAGGATTCTTACTCAGTCCGAAATTAAGTTCTGTCTGC